ATAAAGTATACATTCTAAACAGTAAAGGAATGTGGTAGCCATCTTGAATTTGGCAGCCATCTTGGGGTAGTTTAAATAACTTCATATCCAGGAATAATAAATAGATCACATTTTACAAATGTGAAAGTTTTGGTGCTTTTAAACCTGAACAGCGAGTTTTGAAATTGTCAGTCATTTCAGGAATTCAAAGAAAGATAGGGCAATCTATCACTGATGTGTTACTATGAGAAGAAATTAGTTCAAACATTGTTGAACTCTATGCTTGCAAAAAAAAGTTGTTAAAATTAAAGTAAACTACTAGTATAAACCTGCTTACAAGATAACGAGCTAAAGACAGAATATAAAATCAGTGTTGCCAACTCTTGTGATTTTATTGAATGTCTCATGCTGTTTGGTATTTTTCTTAAAGGCCCAACTGCTGGCTGGAATCATGTGATTGCATGATAAACTCGACTTTTTTTTTAAAGTATGTTTCTATCCCTCATGGTTATAGAAAATAGAATTTGAAAGACCCTAAAGGCTCAGTAGCCATAAGGCAAATAAAAAACACCCAAAATGTAGTATTTAAAAGAAAAGCATGATTTTAAACTACGCTTGTGATTTTGAGGGCTTGACTCATGATATTTTTTATTATTAATTAATTATATTATATTATATTATATTATAGTGGCACCTAGGAGCCCCAGACATGGACCATGGACCCCATTATGCTAGCTACTGTACAAACAGAACAAAAAGACAGTCTTTGCCCCAAAGAGTCTACAATCCAAGTATAAGACAAAAGCCAACTGGTGGATACAGACAGACAGACAAAAAATGGAGCACAAGAAAACAATGAGACAGTGCTGGTCAATGTGATAGGTTGTGATCTCAGCACATCATCTGCTTCATTCTTAACTCTTAAAGGAGTTTTAAGAAGGGATTTATAGCTTCATAGATTGCAAGGCCAGAAGGGTCCCCTGATCTACAGGCCATAGAACTTCCCCAGAATAATTCCTAGAGCAGAGATGCGCAAACTTTTTGGGCCGAGGGCCACATCTGCGTGCGGAAATAGTATGCAGGGCCGGGACAGGGCGTTGGGGTGTGGGAGGGAGGGAGCGTGGGGTGTGGGAGGGGGTGGGGGTGTGCAGGAAGGGGCTCAGGGCAAGGGATTGGGGCAGAGGAGCGGTACGGGGTGTATAAGGGGGCTCAGGGAAGGGGGTTGGGGTGCAGGAGGGGTGCGTAGTGCAGGAGATGGCTCAGAGCAGGGGGTTGGAGTGCAGGAGGGGTGCAGGGTGCAGCAGGGGGCTCAGGGCAGGGGGTTGGGCTGCACAGGGGTGCAGAGTGCAGCAGGGAGCTCAGGGCACGGGATTGGGATGCAGGAGGGGTGTGGGGTGTACAAGGAGGTTCAGGGCAGGGAGTTGGGGTGCGAGGTGCAGGCAGGGGGCTTAGGGCAGGGAGCTGGGGGGCGGGGTACAGGAGGGGTTCAGGCTCCGGCCCCGCTTACCTCAAGTGGCTCTGGGGTGGCAGCGGCGTGCACTGGGGCCAGGGCAGGCTCCATGCATGCCTGCCCTGTCCCCGGCCCCGCGCCACTCCAGGAAGCGCTGCAGCCCCTGGGGAAGGAGGGCTCTGCGTGCACTGCCCTTACCCGTGCCTCTGGGTACCTCCCCCAAAGCTCCCATTGGACGTGGTTCCCTGTTCCCGGCCAATGGGAGTTGCAGGGGGTGGTGCCTGGAAGCAAGGGCAATGCATGGAGCCCTGTGCTTCCCCGCCCGGGGGCCGCAGGGATGTGGTGCCGGCGCCGCCGCGGGCCAGATCCGGCCCATGGGCAGTAGTTTGCCCACCCCTGTCCTAGAGCATACCTTTTAGTGAAACATCCAATCTTGGTTTTAAAATTGCCAGTGATACAGAATCCACCAAGACTCTTAGTAAATTGTTCTAATAGTTAATTACCCTCACTTTTAAAAATTTCCAGTATGAATTTGTCTAGCTTCAACTTCCAGCCATTGGATCATGTTATAATACCATTCTATGCTCAGTTGAAGAGCCCATTATCAAATATTTATTGTTCCCCATGTAGATAGTTATAGACTGTAACCAAGTCACCCCTTACTAGTTTCTTTGTTAAACTAAACAGATGGCCTCCAGGAGATCAATCACTGTAAATCATGTTTTCTGATCCTTTAATCATTTGTGTGGCTCTTCTCTGAACCCTCTCCAGTTTATCAATGTCCTTCTTTAAAGGAGTATATTGAGGTACCTGAAAATTATAGGGTTTTTTTTGTAGATAATGGGGGAGGTGCCCAAATTTATAATCCAAAGGGGGATTCTGCTCAAAAAGTTTGAAAACCACTCAGGGTGCAGGCAGGGGGTAGCTAGGGACTGTGTGCAGGCAGGGGGATAGCTCAGGGTGCAGGGAGGGGCTACGTCCAAGAGGGTGCTGCTGTGGGGCTGGCTGTGTGCTGCTCAGTCCCTAGTTGGCATAGTGGGTGCAGTTCCGCGGGACAGAGGCTGGGTAAGAGGCATGCTCTTCATGCCTGGGAACATGATGAGCAGAAGGAGGGGGACACCCCAATATCAGCTTCTGCCTGGTTTTGCATAGCAGAACAGGAGGCAGGCTCCCAGTACCAAACAGCGTGGCCAGTTGCAGCTCCATGGCAGAGGGTGGTGGAGGAGGCAGAGGCAAAGTGGTGGCTACAGATGGCAGTGCCACAGGACAGTGGGGGGGGAGGAGGGGCAGCAAACTTCACCCCAATGTGGTACAAAACTTGGGGGGGGGTCCCCCTGCCCTCCCTAAATGTGGCGCCTGCTGACATCACTGTCAATAAGAAATATCCTAAAGTGAATGAGAGATTATAAGTATAGTGATGATAGGCTATGAAGGGCCTGGAAAATGAAGACAAGAAGCTTATGTTTGTTGCAATGGCAAAAGGGGAGCCAGTAGAAGGACACAAAGAGAGGGGTGACATGGTCAAAGTGCCAAGCTAGGACAGAGGTGGGTAGACTACGGCCCGTGGGCCGGATCTGGCCCGTCAGGGCTTTGGATCCGGCCCACAGGATTGCCACCTCTGTGGTGCTGCGGGCCCCACACCGCTTCCGGAAGTGGCCGGCACCATGTCCCTGCTGCCCAAAGGGTTGGGGGGGCAGAGGGCTTTGCGTGCTGCCCGTGCCTGCAGGCACCGCCCCCTGCAGCTCCCATTGGCCAGGAACGGGGAACCGCTGCCACTGGGAGCTTCGGGGGAAGTACCTGCAGGTGAGGGCAGCGCATGGAGCCCTCTGCCCCCGCCTCCCTGAGTGGCTGCAAGGACGTGGTGCCAGTCGCTTCAGGGCCAGGGCAGACAGGCAGTCTGCCTGCTGTGCTTCTATATCTTGGGAAATTTCCCACAATCTGGGAATTTGTGAGTAAAATGTTTTGAATGAAAATTCCCAATTTCCCAAGTTGAAACATTTTACTCACAAATTCCCAGGTTTTGGGAAATTTCCCAGGATATAGAAGCACTGTAAAAAACTTTATCTGGGAATTTTTCACCAGATTTGGGAAATTTTTAGCACTAGGTTGGGAAAAGTTGGCATCACGATATAGAAGCACTGTCTGCCTGAGCCCCGCTGTGCGCCGCTGCCACCCCAGAGCTGCTCCAGATAAGCAGCGCCGGGCTGAAGCACACACCCTGAACTCCTCCTGCACCCCGCACCTCCACCCCCTGCTCTGAGCCTTCTCATATACCCCAACCCCTGGCCCTTAGCCCCTTCCTGCACACCACACCCCCTCCCACACCCCGTACCCCAACCCCCTACCCCAACCCTACATTCATGACCCTGCATGCAATTTCCCCACCCAGATGTGGCCCTCGAGCCAAAAAGTTTGCCCACCCCTGAGCTAGGAAAATGATCTTCACAGCAGCATTTTGAATTGATATGAATGGGGCAAGATTGTATTTGTCAAGACCAGAGAAGAGATGTTGCAGTAATTGAGATGAAAGATGACGACAGCCTGGGCAAGAATTTTAATTATATTTATTATTTGATTATCATAATACCTAGGATCCCCAGTCGTGGAGCAGACCCTATTGTGCGAGGCACTGTACGCACACAGAACAAAAAAGACAGTCTCTTCCCCAAGTGCTTGTGTGGATGGATTGGAAAGGTTGTATCTTAAAGAGGTGATGCGGAAAGAATCAGCTAGATTTAAACACAGCCTGGATGTGAGGCTCTAGAGAGGGCAAGTTAAGGCTTAAAACCAGATTACGAGTCTGAGTGATGGGGAAGATAGCGGCATTGCTAGAGGTTGGCAATACCCTGAAAGAGGATATAATTAAAACCACATGATCGAGCAATGAGGTGGCCATACATCTTGCTGGTGCTATGATTTTTGTGATGTTTTGTTAACAAGTGAGGGGAGGACTTGGTGGGCTATGGTTCACAGGCATAGAGCACCACATGGAAGGTGTGGACAGAGCCTGCAGAAGACAGAAAGGAGTGGTTATCTATATGGTTTAGGTGAAGGACAGAGCAGAGATGACAGGGGGTAAGAGGCCCGTCTACACTAGGCAAGTTTTTGACCAGCCTGGCCATTTCCACACCCACTAAAGACATGGCACAGATGCAATTTTGGGTGGCCTGGCCCATTTTTACTGAAGCCATTTGCTTCTGGAAGCTGGCTCAGTCACGGCAGGTCCGGCTGCCTTCCAGGGAGCTACAGGGCGGCTCCACAATTGGTTCAGCTGAGCTGGTTTGGGAACTGGTTCAGCGAAACCAAGGTCAGAGGCGGGGCTGGGATCGATGCAGGGCGGAGCGCGTCAGGCTCTGGACTGCCCGCCTGGGAGTGGGAAGCAACAGGCAGAGGGGAGGGACGTGGGGCTGCTGAGCTCCCCGCGCCTCCCTCCCGCGCGCGCAGAAGCATGACAGTTAAAACCGTTACAGCTCCCACTTTCGAACTGATTCAAACTCTCAGCAGCGCTGAACAGGGCTGCCCCTCCCTTCCCGGGCTCCGCGGGCGCTTCCTCTTTCAGCAACCCCCAATCTCCCCACCCGCAGGCAAGGCGGGCTTCAAGGCTCTCCCTCCCCGCGCGCCCTGATTCCCTCTCCCAAGAGGGCTCAGGAGCGCGCGAGGATTAAGAGAGGAGCACGAAACTCGCCATCTCCCCAGCCAGCGCGAGAACAAAGAGAGCTCTTCCACCCCCTTCCCCCCGCACGTGGGGAGCGAACTCCCCGCCCCCGGCACCGCCTCTAGCCGCTGCTGATTGGCTCCGGCGGCCCCTCCACGTCCGTCCAATCGGGGCGGTGCTTGGGTCTCTCCAATGAGCGCGATGCCGATTGGGCCGCCGGGTTTGGCGCTCGGTCCGGGAGGGTGAATCCGGCGGCCGGAGGCAGAGAGGAGCGGAGAGGGGACCCGGAGGCGGCAGCACCGGCGGGGGTTGGGGGGGTGAGTGAGCGAGTGACCGGTACCGCGCGGGCGGGAGCCGTGAGCCGTTATTATAACCGGCGCCCTTTATACTGGGGGAGGCGGTGGCGGCGGGAGGAGTGGGGGGGGGCAGAATGAGGGGGGGGGGCCCGAGCCGCGAGGAAACT